CTGTTTCAGTCAAAAATTGTTGTAATACTTCTTGGTGATTATTTGAAAAATCCATTGCAATGTGCCACCTGCCCCTCTGCACAATGTGCCTGTCCCCTGTTTTTCTGGGCAGCTACAGGAACCAGATACCAGGGTGAGGAAGAAATTCCCCCATGGCTCTTTTGGCAAACTCCAAAGACCATTATGTCAACCACCCTCTCTGGTGTAAATTCTGGTTGTGCAATGTGGTTGTGAGCTGGCACCAAAACCTTGCTCTTCCAGGCACCTTCTGTCTTCAGGTGACTTTTGAATGTAGAAGAGTGCTTTGCCCAAAAGACCTGCTTTCTTGAAAGCTTCTCAGCTTATCTATGCTGTCTTTGTTTCTCAGCTGCACCCTTTGCTAGCCTCAGACCTAAACCAGACCAGAAGAATTTTGTGAAGTCTGCCTTGGGAGTGCATTGAGGTGCAAATGCAGTGAAGAAAGTAGCCTTTGACTGGTGTTATTTTTTGGCTGGTTAAAAATATGCCTCCTGTCTTCTATCAAATGCATTGAAATTACTACATTAAATTAAATAGTTTCCTCCTCTTCTTTTTTTTTTTTCTTAAATATACAGTGTTTTGTTTCATATAGTACCATTTGCTATAGTAGAATGGCAAATTATTGTGGTAGAGCTAAACTACTGTGGCTTGAAGAGTTTTGCAAAAATATGGGGTTTTATATTAGACGAACATGGAGATTTTGGTTAGTCTGAGGTAGCAGCTAATGAGGCAGAAATAAAAAACTTGGAAAGTTAAGAGACTGCTCTCTCTGTTTGGTTCTCTACTTACATAGGAAACATTCTTGATTTTATAGGAAACTTTCTTTACTCCCCTTCTTAAACTGATGCTCTGCTTTGCCAGGACCTGAAACATTACAATTAAAAATAATAGACTGTCCTGCATGAATTATGAGACATTTACACCTTGAATGCATCTTCTTTCTATTATTAATTGTCCTTTTCCCAGAGGGATTGTGAAAAATGGGCTGCTTTGAAAACAGCCTTCCCCAGCCTGCTGATGGAAGGAGGGATGATGGACGTGGTTTGGATTCTACATCTTGTCACTCCTGGGGTACCTCTTGCCTGCTCCTTCTGCCTGCAGGAGAGGAGAGGGGTCCAAGGGCACAACTGCCAGGCCAAAAATCACGAGTTTCATCCCCAAACCCACCGAGATGTTTATGCTGAAGGGCTTCTCCCTCAGGGCTTTAATTACAGCAGCTCTAGCTGAGCAAACAGAGAGGGGTCACCAGGTCCCTGTCACTGCAGCAAGAGTCCCTGTCCCCCCAGGAGAGCTCAAAGGGAGCTCTGGAATAGCTGCTCTTGCACAATGGCCATGCATTAAGTGTCTGAGTGGAAAAACTGCACTAAAAGGTGCATTGTGCTGCCTAAAAATAACCAGCACGTCTTTGTCCAAACCACATGCCTCCAGAGGGCTCCAGGATTGAAGCACGTTTGGATCAGGGAGGAATGCTAGTCAGGGAGATCTTTTGCTCTCTGAAGCCACGGGGAAGAGTCTGCAGAGGCTCTGGGAGGATTTGGCACTGCAGCACCGAGCTGCTTTCACCGGGGTGATCACCCATGTGCACAGGAGCCTGTTAAAATCTGGGAGCTTGGCTCTCCAGAGGAGCTCACAGCTGCCCAGGGGAGGCTGGGCACTGCCACAGAGCTTTGGGCTCCTTTAGGTTGGAACAGGACTTGAAGGTCATCGAGTCCAACGCAGCACAGCCGAGGCCACCACGAAACCGTGTCCCCAGGTGCCACATCCACACCTTTTAAAGACCTCCAGGGATAGTGACTCCACCACTTCCCAGGGCAGCCTATTCCAGTGCTTCCCTAGAAGCTTCTCCAGACCCTTTCCCACCTTTACTGACCCCCTCTGGATGTGCTCCAGTACCTCAATCTCTTTCTTGTAGAGAGACCTCCAAAACTGAAGACAGGCATATTTTGAAGTGCAGCCTCACTTGTGCTGCATAAAGGGGACAATCTCTGCTCTGGTCCTGCTGGCCACACTACTTTGGTGAGCAGGAGGTGTCACTTGTCATCCCATCACCTGCCCCCATGGCAAAAAAATTCCCCTTCAGACATCATGTTTGCCTTTGCCTGGAGGGAAGAGGCTCCCCAGAGTATGGTGTCTTACTGTGAGCTGTTCCAGCATATTCTGGGGATGCCACGAGCTGCCGTGCTGGGTTTGTGCCTCCAAACTCACTTCTCATCTGTCTCCCCTGTCTGCAGGATTCCTGTACCTTCCTCCCAGGTAGATGGATGAGATTTTGGATGGGAAGGGTCAAGGTCCAGCTGAATCCAACAGACTCCCTTCCTCCTTCACCCTCACCCTGCCAGGCTGTCCTTTGTGGAGCTCAGCTTTACTCCTTCCATGATAGCATGCATTTCAAACACTACTTTAAAAAAATTTTAAATTGTCCCAAAACTCTCTCACTCTCTCACTCTTTTTCTTTTCCCAGCAGCTTTCTTTCTTTACATTTAAGATGGTGCCGGTCACCTTTGCTCCAAAAATACACAAAGCTGCTGCATAACTATTTTCCAAATAATTAATCTTTCCAGTGGAATAACTTAAAGCCTCACGTTTCCTGTTATGTTACACAGCTGCAATTTGTAACAAGAGATCCTGCGCTGAGCTACGTGGGCAGAGGGCCAAGGACGTGGTGCTTTACCTACACAAGAGCCCTACATAAATAATCCTTCCCTGCATGTTAAACAGTTAGGTACTGTTCAGTTCAAGAAAAAAAAAAAAAAAAGGAGATGGAAAACAAAAGCCTTTCTTTTGGTTGTCATTTCACAGTTTGGAATTAAATTTTCAGTGGTAATCTCTTTTGTTTGGTAAGCTTCGGGGGCTGGGAAAGCACCTTCTCAGCTGCCAGGGACAGACATGCTTAGTTTCACTACCTATAGCTGTTTTATTGATTAATTCACATATCACACAAATATTTTGTCTGCCATAAATCTTACAGCCTCCTATATAACTGGGATCTCCAGATATGCCAAGAATAAGCAAAGTAATCCTTACTGCTCTGCCAAAAAGCAGGTTTGGGTGGAAGATGGGAGAAGATGGGAAGAACTCGTGGGAGATGGCCAGAAGATAGGGATGTCACTGGATGGGACACTTGGAGCCAGGCACAGATCAGAGCCACCCTGAGATGGTGAGAAAGGATGCCAGGAGCTGCACTGGTGCCCTGCCAGCTGCAGCATGGGGACAGCTCTGAGGTGAAATGAAACCTCCCTTGGCAAACCTTCATCCCTCCTCTGCCTGGCACGCTGCAATTTTGGGGTCTGGCCACCCCAAATCCCGGAGTGCCCTTTGTCATGTGTGTTTTACATATCCAAAACAACAGCATCATATGGGCTGTGGGGTGAATGCAGGGCTTGGATGAGGCAGCAGCAGTGTTTATGGGTGTTATAAATCATCATCAGAATCATGCACGCTGCACTTGTACTTTCAGGATAGCAATGAGAAGGACTGGGACATGGCATAAATCAGTTGTAAATTGTTGTCTTATCAAATGGAGGGAAAGGATTTCAAAGGCTTTCAGGAAAGACAGATAAGCACAGTGTGCATGCTCACGGGTCAGCCTCCCAATTTCATCCCTAAAGATACAAGAAGGAGCTTGCCAGAAGTTTGCTGTGGGATGGGAAGATCTGAAAGCATCTAAACCAATTTAGCACCCAGCCTCTTGTGCTCTCAGGGGGATTTTAGGCATCATTCACTTCCAGACCTCTAAATACACTCAAAGCATCTAACCTGTGGTTAAGGGGACTAACATGAGGGAGGTGGGATGGGCTGGAGGACAAGTCCCTTGTAAGAGCAGGTGCTGCTGTTTTTCTCCTCTTTTTGGTGAGGAGATGAGGCTGTGAGTGAAGCAAGGTAAAAATCACAGTTCACTCAGCCCAGTGAGGCAATGAGCCTGGAAAGATTGCTCCCAGCTCCTCCCAAATTTGAAGGACACTCCAACCTGTTCTGGGGGTTACTGTGAGACTCGCAGGTGATGGAGTGCTCAGTGAGGACACTGCAGGCTGTGCTTTCCCTTGGCTGGTGCTCACACTGGAAGGATTTTACCCCAGGTGATGGACAAGAGCTAGGTGCCCATGTCAGGACCAGTCCCAGCTGCTCAGCTTCTTTCAGACCAGCCACATCAGCTGCAATGTGCAGGAGTAACCCTTCAAAAGGAAAACAGTTTGAAATTAGGCAAACAGGAGAACAGCTTCCAAAAGGCATGAAAATTAGCTTGTTTCATGCTTAGAATAACCCCATTAGCTCAATATCCTGAATGAATTATGCCAAACTTCCCATGCACACAGGCACATGCACAAAATCCCCCTTTGGGCTACTTAACAACAGTGAGAAATTTCAGAAGAAGCAGCTCCTGAAAAGAGGGAATTTGAAACAAAAGTGTCCTTTGGAGCAGAACTATAAAGTGTGTATCATTTTGCTTTGATATTTAGAATGGCAACTGTTCTTCTTCAATTGTGAAATATATTTCTTTTGTACCAGCAAATCCTTGAAAAAAGCTTAATCTTGCACACATTGTGCATTAGGAAAATTCTCAAATTAAGACCTCTTTGAGACACTGATCAATGCAGTGGTGAGGAAGGCCAAGAGGAAGAAAAAGCAGCTCAGAGAGGGAAAATTACTTCCTTCTGGACAGAGAGAGCTATTTATTGTAAGCATAGAGTGCATTATGAGAAATTATGTTTGTGACTTCACTTCTCCTACGTGAGAAGGTTTGCACCCAGGTAAAGCAGGTATAGAGGTAATTGTTCTTCAAGAGTGTTTGATGTTCTCCTCACACACGGGTGCTGTCGAGCTCCATGCAACTCTAAGAGCTTAAAAACTTGTTTGTGAACTTTTTTATTTCAGAGCTCAGAATAAAATGCTGGACTCACACGAAGTCCTTGCCTTTCCCCCATGTCTGCTCCTAGTTGCTTCTCTACATGTGACTAAACCATGAGTCCATTTTTTCCATCAGAGTGATCCAAAAGGCTGCATGCCACCTGGAAATGACTTTGTGTCAGCACAACTCTTGTTAGACATCAGAGTGTCCCTACCAGCAAATTGGCCCAACCCTGGAACACTTCTACCCTTTCTGGCACGGAAGAGACACAAATCCAGGGTAAATTTGTATATACTTTTCCCACTACTTGTGAAATTTGTAGTTTGGATATCTTCTCCCAAGTTTGAAGCAGTGGGTGGTAAACTTTGGAGAAGAAATGGAAAGGCCAGAATGGGAGGTCATATATGGCTGGGGAAAGGAATGTGGCAGGAAAGGTGATGAATTGGTGAAAAGAACAAGCAAGCAAGCAAAAAGTAAAATAAACTTACAGAAACATAGAGGAGTTCCATTGAAAGAGGAAAGAGAAACAATCTGGGAATGTCAGGCAGAGATGTGGACAGTATATTTAGTTAAGCCACTGACACTGGTGGGAAAAGTGACAATTGCAGGGTTGAGATCTTAATCCAACAAGGGAATTTCAGCATGGCTTATTTTTAGACATGTGAGTAATCCTCATGATTTCAGATCAGAAAGGTAGATCCCAGCTGGTATTATCCTGTTGTCAGCAGGGACCTTGCTGTTAGGAAAAAAAAAGAAATGTTTTAAACCTCTTTTATGTCACATTTTATTTTTCCCTGTGAAAAAAAAAATATATACATACCCAAATTTATTCAGATTTATTAATATTTATTAATAAAGACATGGAGGTGGCTGTTGTGAGATGGGAAACAGGGTTTGAGGTTTCCTGTGGGCTGACAGGTCTGCCTGGAGGCTGCTCCTGCTCTGGTTGTGTTTTGCTGAAAGCAGGCAGAGCCAGAAAAGCAGAATGATGGAGTCACTCCTGGCATGATGGAGTGATCAGCAGGACATGGGCACCCAAGACAGCACATCCTCAAGAGTGGGACTTGTCTGGTGTGGAAAAAACAGGCAGGGCACAACTGTGCCCACCCCAGGCTCTTGCATCCTGTACAGAACATGGATGGAAAGGGAAACACAGAAGAGCACATCTAAAGGTGAGCCTGGCTCAAACATTCAGTGCACAATATATTATATTTACATTTTAGATGAGATAATCTTGTTGTAGTTATTTATTGATTGTTTCCAACTCCACTGTCTCCTCTTAAAAGTCAGACTAGACAGAAGCTTGAGATAAAGTATTTTATTCACTAGATTTTAGGGTGGGATTTTTGGAGGGGGAGGCAGGATTGCTGGTTCTTTCTGCATCCATCCTTTTAAAATGGTCTCAACAATAAGTGTTTTAAAGGTTTCAGACATGGAGAAAACAATGATTCTTGGAGTGACCCAGCTTCAAGCAACCTGTTCCTATGTGGAGATGGTCCTGCTCTCTCTCAGTGACATTTTATCACTTACTGCAAACACTGCAGTGTCCCCTGACACAGCCAAGCCCACCACGGGCTGTTCCTTATGTGCCACTGATTTCCACTGATACCAAAAAGATTAAACACAAGCTCACTGTCCCCTTTTTGTGCTGGGTTTGCACTGGTTGTCCTGGTTTTGGGCATATTTGGGAGAAATCTTCCAAAGGAGTTTCTCTAGAAAGCAGATTCAAATTGCTGGGTGCAATATGGTGTCACAGAGAGATGGTTCCTCCACTTGGCATTGATGTGGCATTTGTGGGCCCCATGGAAAGACCCAAATCTGGGAGAAATGAACATCTTTCTTGGAAAGGAGCACATCTCAAGGCATTGGCTGATCAGAAAGATCTGTATCTGCCTGCCTGTGACCTGGCATCTTCTGCTTAACAAGTTGATTTTTAGCAAATAGACCCATATAAGAAGAATTTGTCAGCAGGTTACTCTGCTTCTTTCCATTGAACTGTCGTGAGCAACATCAACAATGTCCCATCATTAAAAATTTATTTTGGAAGAAGGTGTAAAGCAGTGAGATTGGGTTAGTCCATCCTCATCCTTTTATCAGTGGCATTGTGGGTGTCTGAAATTCAGGAAGTTAAGAAAAGATAAGGAGCACTCCATTAACTGGGCCCTTTCAAATATACATCAAATTGCCTCCAAGTTTGCCAAACCTTCCAAGGAAGAATTAAGGAATACAAAAGAGACAGAGAAATGACTGATATGAAGCAGGTCAGATGCTCAGAAAATACAGCATTGTTGCAAAAAACAAAAAACAAACACAGAAACAAAAAAACAATCAAAGAAACAAAAAAAAAACCAAACAAACAAAAAAGGTGGGGGAAAACTAATTTTAATCAGTATAAAAATTAATCCCTATGATTATGTAAGCATTTTATACTGTCTTAGATACAAGTTCTGTGGAAGAACTGCTTTACCATAGCTGGGAGCAGGAGCTCAGGAAAGCAAAGGCCAGGTCCTCTATCATTCTATTCCTGAAACCTGGATTAGACAGCAATGGTTTAAAAGGACCAGGCAGGAGCAGCAGCTTTATTTATGAGAGGGTGATCTCCAGTGGTGTGGAGTGATGGTGACAGCAATGGAAATTTGGGCTAGAAATGCTCAGGAGCATCCCTGAGACTTCTGCCTTTGGGCAGCTTTGAGAGCAGCATTTAAACCTGCAGAGGAGGGATCACTGAGCCAGCCTGTGCATCTTGCCCACCTTTAGCTCCTCATCTTCCTCCTGTGTTTTCCTGCAGGGAGAGGAGGAGTGAGGTGGGGGAGCAAACAGCACAGCAGGGCTTCAGAAACCCTCCAACACCTTGAAGCCCCATGTATTCCAGTCAGGAGCCACCCAGGCAGTCACAAGAGCAGGAACCAGAATGTGGGGTTCCTTAAAATCAGAGAGTCTGGGGCATGTTACAAAAAGCAAACCTCAGAAACAACAAGATAGCAATTTAGAGCTGAACAGTAACTCTAAGATTTGTCAACAGAAAAATTATACAAGAAGTAGAAAGAAAAGACAAATAGAACCATAGTCTGTGAATTAACACTTAAGTGAAATAACTCCCTAAGTTAGAGAAAAGTGTATCTAGTGAAATATTAAGAAGTTTTAAGCTTAATAATAAAGCTCTGTACATTGTATCTTAAAACTTGCAAACAAATATTGTATTGGAAACAAACAAACATTGTTTTAACCAAAAGTGCATGTACTTATAGTAGTTGGGTAAAACTACTGTCATTATGCTTTTGCTTTGTGTGATTAGCCAAAAAGCTTTTAAAGTAAATTGTAAGTTCTGAGTCTACTACCTAAGATGTAAGCTACTAGCATTTTCCCATTGTCATAACCATGTAATGAGACCAGTACTAAAAACCAAACAACTCAAGACACGTTCCTCAACAGCCCCATCCCATTCATGATTTATACACACCCCCCAAACCAACAATCCCAGCTTTGCAACGCTCGGGCGAGGCTCGCAGGGACTCGTGGACCATTTCCCCCTTTCAATCCCGAGCCGGACCGCGGCAGACAAAGCTCAGGCAGCCCCTGTGCACCTCCCGGCCCCTTGTCCCGGTGCATCGCTGCATCCCTGCATCCCTACATCCCTGCATCGCTGCATCCCTGCATCCCTGCATCCCTGCATCGCTGCATCCCTGCATCCCTGCATCCCTGCGCAGCGCCGCCGCCGGGCCCGGGGCGGCCGGGAGGGCGCGGGTGACGCACCCGATCGGTATTAGAAGACTTCACCGGCTATTTATAGGCCCCCACCGACCGCAGAAAGCTCTTGGGCTCGCTTTTCCTGCCTCCCTCCTCCCCTCCATCTCGCTCAGCGCGGCGGGGGAAGCACGAGAAATGCCGGCAGTAAAGCGGCGAGTCCGAGCGCCACATCCCCAAGCACAGCGGAATTTCTGCCCCTCCGCTAGGGGATTCAGTCTGAACAAATGATTTCCAGCATGCCCTGGCCTTTCACTCAACCGGTGTTCTTTCCTCCTTTTCAGCCTGGATTTCTTTCCCGTTCCGATTCTTTTTTTTTTTTTTCTCTCTTTCTTTCGGTGCAGTTTCACTTTCCAGTTCCTGGCATTGGCTTGGCTGCTCCTCAGCAGGGCTGGATACACACCAGAGACCGGGAGACCTCTCCATTGAGCTGGACAGATTTCCCTGCAGCTTCCCTGTGTGTCCCTCAAACAGCCAGGCTGAGCCTTGTCACTTTGGCCAGTGACATCTGATGCTCTCCTGACTGCAGGGCCAGCCTTCATCTCCCACCTTCACCCTCTGAAGGACAAACCCACGGTCCCCACCCTTGTCACCCACGTCTCTGCAGCCCCTGCCCTGCTCCCATGCTGGTGGGTGAGTCAGTGAGGACTGAGCAGAGCTGCGGATGGAAATTGCACCTACACATCCACCCTGGGTGCTTCTTTCAGCATGGATAACCACAGCAGTAAGTCTTAAAGTGCTGTTGTTGCAAAAGCACGGTGTGCTCCAATTTGGGGCAGAGGTGGCATTTGGAAATGTGAGTAAAAAGTTCAGTACACCTGGATACGGGCAGTGAGGTAAAAACAATGCCTAGTGTCCACAGCAAAGGCACTGATGGAGAAGTAGAGCCATCTATAATCACTTCAGTGAAGTGAAAAATAGAGGTCACTGGAGGTGCACATCTATTCTTTTTTTTTTAGCAAAACTGATTTTCACAATATTTATTGTCAGAAGCATTTCCAGCAGAAACACTCCCGTCTGCATGCGGGCCCTGAGGTTTACAACAGAGGTAAGAGAGGACGACTGTGGGAATTAAATCTGGAGCAAGCTAGTCTTCTGCTTTTTCAGTGAATTAACCATTGCCCCACCTGAGAGGCTCTGCTCCTTGCAGCTCCATCAGCAATTCAGGGCTAAAGCAATCAGGGGTGGGGTGTCTTCTCAGTCTTATCCTTAAGTAAATCGCTTTATCTCTCAGTTTTTGTATGGCACCCTGCTCCACGCTTATCTCTGTGGACTTGCAGGCTGTAGGGCTCTGTCTCACTGCAAGGTAGGATGTCCACACCAACTCCAGGCACATCCCCAGAGGGATGAGGCTCAAAGAAATACTGGCAGACAAATAGCAGGACCGGGGTCTTTCTCTTCACAGAGGAATGGCACATACAGCTGCAAAGAGCTGGTCCCAAAGATAATGCATTATGATTTTCAAATTTATTTTTATTTCTTGTATTCACCATGTCCAGTTCAGGGCTTCTCTCCTATAAGAGACATTGAGCTTAGTTCAGCTTCTGGTCCAGCAGAAAGAAAGGTGATGAAGGGATTGGAGTTCTGAGGAGAGGCTGGGGGAGCTGGGCCTGTTCCCCTGGAGCAGAGACACCCAGAGGAACCTGATCCATGGCTGCCAGTGTCTGCAGGGAGGGGCCAGAGCAGGGCCAGGCTCTGCTGGGCACCGGGCAGTGGCACAGGAGGCAGCGGGCAGGAGCTGAGGCTCAGCAAGTTCCACCTGAACGTGGGGAAGAACTTCCCTGTGCAGTGCCCCAGCAGGGCACAGATTGCCCACAGAGGCTGTGGAGTGTCCCTCCTGGGGACAGTCAGGAGCCATCTGGACACCATCCTGTGCCTGTGCTCTGGGGTGGCCCTGCCTGAGCAGGGAGGTTGGATCTCCAACCTGACCCATTCTGTGATTCTGTAGCTCATCAAAATGAAGATACAGGAAATTCACTTGAACCTGGGCATGGTGCTTAACATTTGGCCAACAGAACCAAGAGCATTCTACCTTTTTCTTGACAAGCTCATCCCTTTGTAACCTTCTGATCTCATTTCTAAACCTTGATGTGAATGAGACTTTTGCTATAGGTGTCTTACTCACAGCTGTGTCATGACCAGGTCATGTGGGATGTGTGGGACTGAAAACTGGGTAAGAGAAAGGAAATTCTTATTCCTTCTATGCAGTTCCTTTAGAGGCTTCACAGAACTTCACAGCGTTCAAGCCAGTAAAACTTCAGGATGCCTCTGGAAGGCTGTTTTAAAAGCAGATAAAAGCAACAGCCTGCACAGGAAAATTTTGATTTATTCCTTAGTTCCTACTTCTTCAGTTTTGGAGAGGCACATTCATAAACCATAAAAGCAAATTATCCCTCCACTGACAAAGATCCAGCCTTGACCTTTCTGCAGTACAATTAAAATGTGAAAGCATTTTTGCCATATGACTAGAATTGTTCCTTTCATTTACACCTCATTTTCTGCCAGCACCAATGTGTAAGGTGGTCATGACTCACAATAAATGTCCGGGAGTTCTCCTACAATAAAATCCTGACTTTGAGGGACTTCCAACTTGAGCTGGACAGAAACCTCATAAGATGTAACTTACTCTTGAATTCAGCATCAGGCAGCTTTGTTTCCTCTGATTTTTGTGTGCAAGATTTTCTCTTGAATTCAGCATCCTGGTCCACATGCAGCTTTGTTTCCTCTGATTTTTGTGTGCAAGATTCTCTTACCAGGAGTTTCCTAGAAGTAAAACTTGTTTTCATGGGCCACACGGAAGCAACCCTCCTACAAGTACCTGACCCTTGGCATTTGGCAGAGGAACGTGCTTGATTCACTGCTATCATTTATGGTGTTTTAGCCAGTGCTGCAGTTGTGCCACTGCATTCCTAAGCAGGAAAACCCACACGGGCTCTGCCTTGGATGGGCTGCAGTCAGATGAGGACTGGTCGTGCTGAGATGCTGCAGGTGGCACTCATGGCTGGGGAAGTTTGCACACAAGCACCCATTAGGCATTTCAGAGCTCTACATAAAAGTTCTGTTAATTTCTACAATAAATATGCAGGGGGACAAACTCCATATTTAAATTGCTGCTCAAACTTTGGACTATTGTATTTTAATATAGTAAGTGTCATGTGGCTTCTGGTAGTGGAATAATACAAGCAACTCAGTGTGTTATGCATTTGCGGATTAGGTTGTAAATGTTTGTAAACCAGGCAATAAAGCTGTACGAGCAGAAGCATTTACAAGATAATAGTGAAGTAATTTGAGTTTTAAAATTATGGGAGAAGTTGTTGCTTGGCAGTGCTGTGTGGGGAGACAGACACTGGACAGATGAAAACATTATAACCAATAGAAGAACACAGTCCAAGGTGAAGAGCAGCTTACAAATGTGTATAAATGGCATGCTTTAGGGATAAAACATTACAGATTTTTTTGCCTTTAGATAAAGGAGAGTCTGTTTTCTTGCAACAAGAGCTCTGGGTCTTCTCTCCTGGCCATTTGCAAAGCAAAGGGATTTGGAATGTGATGCTAAACTTCTGGAGAATGCACATGAGCATGATTATGTGATGGTAGTAATGATATTAAACTTGAATCTCAATCTTTCAAACTACACAAACTGTTTGTCCTGTAATCCAATAATTTTCATATAACTATTTAGAAGGATGAATGTAATTTTAAAAAAGCAGGCATGTAACACAGGTATACCTATGTTCCCAGTTCTACTTCACAGAGAAAGGGTCAGAAGCACCCAATATCTAAATGAAATGTATAAAATGGCAATTATCTCTGTTTCAGAACATGGTATTGTTATTTCTTTGCTAAATACAGATGGTTTCCAAGAATCTATATACTCATTGCAGCTGGACAATGTTTATAGGCCCGTGGCAGAGGATGGTTTCCAAAGGAATTTAAATACTGCAGGGAGTGGTTTTATATTCCAGGGCCCCAAGTTTGCTTTGTGATAGTGGTTTAGTTTCACTGTTGCTCAAGAAAGAAGCCCTCTGTTCAAGAGGGAAATGCAGAAGGTGTGAAGTGAACAAATAAAATGTTCAGTTCTCCATGCCCAGCACAGCAGAGGACTAGGAATCAGCATGGCAGAAAAGGAGACAAGACTGGATAAACAGCAGAGCTACGAATCCTGAACAAATCAGACACGTAATACTGGTTTGCATTCCCAGAATATAAATTAACACCTGGTAAGATGACTGTGTTTTTGAGATAAAATTTTGCTTTCCATGAATACCCTCTAAAATGGGCTTAAAAATCTTTCCATAAACATTTCTAGCCACTAATCTAATTGATGGGAATGTGCTCAAAAATAAATACAGATGAAGGAAATTCACTGCTTTTATTCACTTAAAAGTGAGTATTTGCAGGTTTTTAAAGGTATTTCCTAAGGTCAATAACTAACTAAACAATCTTATTTTGTAAACAGCTGTGGTGCAGTAAAAAAGCCAGACTTCACAGGTCTTTGTGTGAACCTATGAACAAAATAATCTCAATTATGCTCAGAGGAACAAATATTTTTAGCAATTTTTCCCCTCAACATGATACACACTTTCTGGAAGATGCAGTTGAAAGTGAAGTTTATGTCAGCAGGGCACCTGCATGGGATCAGAGATTTCTGACAGCTTGGGATGTGCATGGATGTGAGCAAGGAGGGATCAGTTTGAAACCTCAAAGCCATGGGATTCAGGGGAGCTGCTCCCTGCTCACGAGGGTGGAAGAGCTGCATGGTGTTGCTATAGGACACGAAAAAGCACAACACGATGGCAAGGTAAAAAAGAAGAAGGTTTATTCTCTGACTCCAACTTTTATACTTTTCCAAAGGTGACAGTGGATTGGAGAGTGAATGGGCCACCTCTCCAAAGGCATTGGCCAAACCACCAGTACATCAACTTCCTCCACCCCCACGAAGGAATGCAAAACAATATGTTGTTTATAGAAAATGTGTGGGAAAGTTTTCTAACAGAATGTAAACTCAGAAGGCTTTAGAAAATTTTAAGGATCAGGGCGACAGCATGGAGCCCCTGGGACCTGCCCCAGCTGCAGGCACCCTGCACACCTCCAGCAGACCTCCTTGCCCTCCTTTTGCTCTGTATTTTCTGCTTTGGTTCTCTCGGGTGAAGCCAGAGCCAAACCCCTGAGACACTTATTGCAGTTTTACCCAAATTACAGGGGAGAGCTGCTGGGTGTCCCAGCAACTATCCCTGCAGAGCTGATCCTCCCTGTGAGCATCCTGCAGCAGTTTGGTGCAAGTGGTGTAGCTTCTAAGCCCAATCTAACTGAGCAGCAGCCTAGCAAGCAAAATCCCAAACAGCCAAACGTGCAAAAGCACCTCCGAGAGAAATCACCTTTGGCAGGCGGGCTGCATTTTCAAACTTTTCTCTGGAGCTCTGAAATTGAGACTTCAAAAGCAAAAGCCAAAAAACCCTGCTGCATATTGGGAAAGCTGCAGTGATGATATGGAATATTCCCTGGGCTGCTGGCTCTGGAAGGGTGCAAAACCCCCGTGCAAGGCTGCACAGCAGCACGGGATGATTGCCTGTAGGCTTTCAGCAGCCACAAGCAACCAAACTCACAAACTCCATTTTTGTCTCAATTCTGTCCGATTATTGCTGCCAAAGAAGGTACAGCTACAAAAAGACAATTACCTGCCCTGAGATTCCCACCCTTTTCAGTTCTTTGAAGGGGGGGGGTGTTTATATATATATATTTTTTAAAATTTTATTATTTTTTTATCTGTCATTGACTGGTGAATGCTCTGTTCATTCTGTTTGCCAAATTGCACAGGACCTGATGCAAAGCCCTCTTTATTGCAGAGTGAGCACTGCTGAAGGCTGCAGAGCCCTACAAGTATTTGAACCTCTTGCTAATGGCAAGGAGTGGGGAGAAAGATGACAGATCCTAAATTCTCTGCTTTTGCTACCAATTCAATGATGGGAGTCACTGACAAACATCCTTCATTATTCCCAATGATTAGCTGAAAAGAAAATCTTATCCCCACTGTCTTTATTTTTCTTCCTTTTTTTTTGTTCTGACAGGGTGGCTTTAATGGTCTTATTTCCTTCCCCTTTCGCATTAAAGCAATTTGTGTACTGTCCATCCTGGATTTATTGTGAGACACTATGGCAAGGATGGCAGAATGGGGCCTTAGATGCTGGGACACAAATCAGAAAGCCTTTTTTGGTGTCTGATTTAACTG